GTAGTTCTAGTCCACAGTGCCATTACAAGAGTTTGCATCATGGCATAGAGACTGGGCCAGGATCATCATGGAGCAGTGGCCCATATGGATCCGTTTTGGACTTTCATAGAGATTTCCAAATTGGATATTGTCTTGACCTACACCATGTACATATTCTTGATCTGTACCATGTACATAGTTATAACCTACATATAATCAACATAATCATGACATACACCATCAACAAATAGGAGTGTTTATCTAGATCTGTTTTTCAATTTACCCAATCACTGGCTCAAAACAAAGACAATTCTAGTACCTGGTCACACCATGCCAACCCTGTCGTAGAGGTCCATTATGACCATTCATTCACACAATCCAGGGCCTGGCAATGGACAGGTCTGTTAGCATTCCTGGCTTTGTCAGCACCATGTACTATCTGTGGCAAGTCTCAATTCCTAATTACCTGGCACCCATCTCAAACCTTTTTTGGTTTCACTAAAAGTGAATGCCTGGAGATCACTGTACACCAGCAGTGATGGAGTCTCAGCTTCATGTACCATCACTAACACTATGTCTCACCAGTTATTACTGGTAATACAATAATTTTTCTTGCCACTTCCTTCTCGAGACCGAAGACAAACTTACAAGCAGTATTGTCCTTCCTCAGCCCAATTTTGTCCAGGAAATATCAGCTGAAGTAGTCATTCAGAATTCCTGCATTGGTTGACCTCAGCGGGACAGGTACTACAGTCTGGTCGAGTTACTGGCATTTTGCACAGCTTCATAAGGTTAATTTCAAGATCCAAGATCAACAGGCCATTGTTTTCATAACAGTGATTTCCAAAAAACTGGCCTGCTAATGCTTAAATCTTCATTTTTTTTAGGAACCCATTTTGACATACAGCAACTGGTTACAGTGTCATAGCATTTGGCTCTACACTTGACTTGGTCTAAGTAAATATGTTTCAGTAATCTGAACATAATTGAGACCCCTTCATTGAGATCCCTGTAATAATGTGTGTGGGAGTCAGTTTACATAATCATTGGGGAGTCTCAATCCTCAGTCTTTAATGATGATGTTGACAGTTCTAGCTCACAGATGCATACTGATCATCATCAGCACTGCCAAAAGACTGCTAGGTCATCTCAAATTGCAGTTCATATGTAACAATACTTTCTTCTATGGCCAGACACAGGAATAAGAAAACTGGCTGCCAAAAGACCATTGCTAGGTCATCCTCAAATTGCATATGTAACAATACTTTCTTCTATGGCCAGACACAGGAATAAGAAAACTGGCTGCCAAAAGACCATTGCTAGGTCATCCTCAAATTGCATATGTAACAATACTTTCTTCTATGGCCAGACACAGGAATAAGAAAACTGGCTGCCAAAAGACCATTGCTAGGTCATCCTCAAATTGCATATGTAACAATACTTTCTTCTATGGCCAGACACAGGAATAAGAAAACTGGCTGCCAAAAGACCATTGCTAGGTCATCCTCAAATTGCATATGTAACAATACTTTCTTCTATGGCCAGACACAGGAATAAGAAAACTGGCTGCCAAAAGACCATTGCTAGGTCATCCTCAAATTGCATATGTAACAATACTTTCTTCTATGGCCAGTCACAGGAATAAGAAAACTGGCTGCCAAAAGACCATTGCTAGGTCATCTTCAAATTGCAGTTCATATGTAACAATACTTTCTTCTATGGCCAGACACAGGAATAAGAAAACAGGCTGTCAAAAGACCATTGCTAGGTCATCCTCAAATTGCAGTTCATATGTAACAATACTTTCTTCTATGGCCAGACATAGGAATAGGAAAACTGGCTGCCAAAAGACCATTGCTAGGTCATCCTCAAATTGCATATGTAACAATACTTTCTTCTATGGCCAGACACAGGAATAAGAAAACTGGCTGCCAAAAGACCATTGCTAGGTCATCCTCAAATTGCATATGTAACAATACTTTCTTCTATGGCCAGACACAGGAATAAGAAAACTGGCTGCCAAAAGACCATTGCTAGGTCATCCTCAAATTGCAGTTCATATGTAACAATACTTTCTTCTATGGCCAGACACAGGAATAAGAAAACAGGCTGTCAAAAGACCATTGCTAGGTCATCCTCAAATTGCAGTTCATATGTAACAATACTTTCTTCTATGGCCAGACACAGGAATAAGAAAACTGGCTGTCAAAAGACCATTGCTAGGTCATCCTCAAATTGCAGTTCATATGTAACAATACTTTCTTCTATGGCCAGACACAGGAATAAGAAAACTGGCTGTCAAAAGACCATTGCTAGGTCATCCTCAAATTGCAGTTCATATGTAACAATACTTTCTTCTATGGCCAGACACAGGAATAAGAAAACAGGCTGTCAAAAGACCATTGCTAGGTCATCCTCAAATTGCAGTTCATATGTAACAATACTTTCTTCTATGGCCAGACACAGGAATAAGAAAACTGGCTGCCAAAAGACCATTGCTAGGTCATCCTCAAATTGCAGTTCATATGTAACAATACTTTCTTCTATGGCCAGACACATGAATAAGAAAACAGGCCGCCAAAAGACCATTGCTAGGTCTTCCTCAAATTGCAGTTCATATGTAACAATACTTTCTTCTATGGCCAGACACAGGAATAAAAAAAACTAGCTGCCAAAAGACCATTGCTAGGTCATCCTCAAATTGCAGTTAATATGTTAATATACTTTCTTCTATGGCCAGACACAGGAATAAGAAAACAGGCTGTCAAAAGACCATTGCTAGGTCATCCTCAAATTGCAGTTCATATGTAACAATACTTTCTTCTATGGCCAGACACAGGAATAAGAAAACTGGCTGCCAAAAGACCATTGCTAGGTCATCCTCAAATTGCAGTTCATATGTAACAATACTTTCTTCTATGGCCAGACACAGGAATAAGAAAACAGGCTGTCAAAAGACCATTGCTAGGTCATCCTCAAATTGCATATGTAACAATACTTTCTTCTATGGCCAGACACAGGAATAAGAAAACAGGCTGTCAAAAGACCATTGCTAGGTCATCCTCAAATTGCAGTTCATATGTAACAATACTTTCTTCTATGGCCAGACACAGGAATAAGAAAACTGGCTGCCAAAAGACCATTGCTAGGTCATCCTTAAATTGCAGTTCATATGTAGCAATACTTTCTTCTATGGCCAGACACAGGAATAAGAAAACAGGCTGTCAAAAGACCATTGCTAGGTCATCCTCAAATTGCATATGTAACAATACTTTCTTCTATGGCCAGACACAGGAATAAGAAAACAGGCTGTCAAAAGACCATTGCTAGGTCATCTTCAAATTGCAGTTCATATGTAACAATACTTTCTTCTATGGCCAGACACAGGAATAAGAAAACAGGCTGTCAAAAGACCATTGCTAGGTCATCCTCAAATTGCAGTTCATATGTAAAAATACTTTCTTCTATGGCCAGACACAGAAATAAGAAAACAGGCTGTCAAAAGACCATTGCTAGGTCATCCTCAAATTGCAGTTCATATGTAACAATACTTTCTTCTATGGCCAGACACAGGAATAAGAAAACTGGCTGCCAAAAGACCATTGCTAGGTCATCCTTAAATTGCAGTTCATATGTAGCAATACTTTCTTCTATGGCCAGACACAGGAATAAGAAAACAGGCTGTCAAAAGACCATTGCTAGGTCATCCTCAAATTGCATATGTAACAATACTTTCTTCTATGGCCAGACACAGGAATAAGAAAACAGGCTGTCAAAAGACCATTGCTAGGTCATCTTCAAATTGCAGTTCATATGTAACAATACTTTCTTCTATGGCCAGACACAGGAATAAGAAAACAGGCTGTCAAAAGACCATTGCTAGGTCATCCTCAAATTGCAGTTCATATGTAACAATACTTTCTTCTATGGCCAGACACAGGAATAAGAAAACGGGCTGTCAAAAGACCATTGCTAGGTCATCCTCAAATTGCAGTTCATATGTAACAATACTTTCTTCTATGGCCAGACACAGGAATAAGAAAACAGGCTGTCAAAAGACCATTGCTAGGTCATCCTCAAATTGCAGTTCATATGTAACAATACTTTCTTCTATGGCCAGACACAGGAATAAGAAAACAGGCTGTCAAAAGACCATTGCTAGGTCATCCTCAAATTGCAGTTCATATGTAACAATACTTTCTTCTATGGCCAGACACAGGAATAAGAAAACTGGCTGCCAAAAGACCATTGCTAGGTCATCCTTAAATTGCAGTTCATATGTAACAATACTTTCTTCTATGGCCAGACACAGGAATAAGAAAACAGGCTGTCAAAAGACCATTGCTAGGTCATCCTCAAATTGCAGTTCATATGTAACAATACTTTCTTCTATGGCCAGACACAGGAATAAGAAAACTGCTGTCAAAAGACCATTGCTAGGTCATCCTCAAATTGCAGTTCATATGTAACAATACTTTCTTCTATGGCCAGACACAGGAATAAGAAAACAGGCTGTCAAAAGACAAGCAATCATTGGCATGATATAGGGGGAGATCCAGCTATTTTTCCTGGTATACTTCAAAAGAAAAATGATAGCATTGGAGTATGGCTGCTCTTCAGCTGATATTATGCAAGCAATGGGATGTAGGTCTCAAGAATTTTTTTTTGTAGGCAGTTACCATAAACAGGCCAAGTTTGAGGGGATGGATGGAAGGGGGTATGTATACCAGCAGTATGAAAGGCTACATTCCAAGATTGTTCACGACAGCTTTTCTTTCTGTGTGTGTGTGTATTTGATTTTAATTTTTAGCATAGCTTTAACAATTTTTCAGTCATATCGCTATGATGTCTGCAGTGTGGCAGTTTATAGTGATGTCTAGCATTGGGGCATCATGCCACAAGCATGTAGCATGATGCCCCACCCAGTCACATTATCCTGACACCAAGCTGACCAGTCCTAACATTAATGCTGAGTGCCTAGTGAGGCAACTGTCAGTATTATGTTTATAAGTCTTTGGTATAACTTTGCTGGGATTCAAACCCATGATCTTCCGCATCTGAGGCAAATGCTCTAACCACTAGGCCACCAGAGTGGTCTTTCGGGAATGAAATTATTTCACTATCTGCATCCATGCATAAATCTGGCCCATATCTCACCTGAAACTGCAAGCTGCTTCATCTTTGTCCCCTTACCTATTCTCCTTATATATTATGACCATGTATTATATTTATGTTATATTGAAAAAAATATTTTACTCTGTAAGCTGGTTTTAAAGATAAATGTCAAGCATTTTATAAAGAATCAAACACAAGCTATTATTCTCAGTACATTTTTTAAACAATTTGTCACAATACAGACATCGAGTTTAAAAAATTTTAAACCTAGAATGACTTAACCCCACAAATTAGGCGACAGTAGAAAGTATGTCATTAACTTTTAGCCAAGATATGCCAGGAATGTTTTTAAAATTTTGCTTATGCCCTTATTTTTCATTTTTGTTTAACTGAAATATGTTAGTTTACCCTATTTTTCAAATTGAGACAATTAATTTACAGAAATTTTTACAGACAGGATGTATTGTAAGTTGTAATAATGTCAGATGACTTTAATACATATTTTAGATGTCATTGACTCAGAACTATTATTCAAGACACTTTGGTTGTGTATGAGAATATTTACATACACAAATGAAGATTTTGATGGCTTATTGCAATTTTTTTTTCTTCCAGTATATACTAACTTTTATCAGTGATCCAACTGTAAAATACATTGAAAGCATATTTGGGTCTTGATTCAGTATGTAAGCAATATAGATGTATAAAATTGTGACCTTTTACATGTACATGGTATTGAGAGTAAATTTGGATACTACTTTACCATTATTACCCATCTCTGAAAAGAAAGCATGAGATCTTATCAAGTACTTGTCTTTCAATATCCTTGTCATTTAATAATTTATTTTGTTGTCAAAAGGAATGGTATGACTACATTATTAGCAAGCTAAATTCCATTTATTTATTTTTTGTTATTTAGTAATAATGAAATTTTAAATTCAGAAGATGATTTTTTTTTTGTTTCTTCATTGTTTCATGCTTTGAAATATTACGTTGTTTTGATACCAGATGTAACCTTTGACTTTTTGTCTTTTCCATGTATTTTACAATCAAACAATGAAGAAGAAACAAAAAAGAGTAAATTAGGGTATTATTAAGATTGAAACCAAAACAAGTACATTTTTTGTCACATTATCATAAGAATTATATATATATATATATATATATATATATATATATATATATATATATATATATATATATATATATATATATATATATATATATATATATATAATTCTTATGATAATGAAAATAGAAAGTTTTGAACATGGACCAGATTCTGCTAGAAGATGTTAAAATAGTATTTATTATGGGTCAGGGTATTGTCAGTTAAATGAAAAAGAGTTGCATATATTTCATAGTTTACAGCAAAGATTTTTTTTTTTAAAATCAAAATCCACAATCAGTTTTAGTTTCTAGGTTTAATGACATTTTCTCACTGAATACATTTAGTGAGACTATTAAGTTTCACATTTAACAGGTTTTCATTAATTTTCTGTTTGGATTTGATTGGTGATATCCACCCACCACCCCTTGTATTTTCTATCATAAAATCTACTTTGCAAGCCACACACAATGAAAACTCATGACCTTTGCTACTTGCCTTGTTACTTGCCAGCACTGACGTTTTAAACTGATTTCTAAGCATTGTTGAATTTGTATTATTTTTTAACATGTTTTTGTTATTTAGCTTTGGGGTAAAATGTACATTTGTATGAACTACCCAAAAAATATAAGACAATGTTTAGTCAGTCTCTACTTTTTTTTCACACTTCCACCAGAAGTCTGATGATTTTTATTCAGCAACTCACAGACTGGACCACTGATCCCTTTATTACTTATAATACCTCAACAAATATTCTACCTTTGGCCTTACACTCTCTGAATTACAAGGTGATTTACATTATTGAATCAGTCTTTACACTAGTGGAACAGTTCTAGTTTGTGTAATGTGTAGAATACATAAAAACAATGTTGTTCTGTCTTCAAATTATCTGTCAAATTTGTTGATTTTCAAAAGCACTTTCAGCTATAAAATGGTGTGTGTAGTGACTAAATAATCATTAGATTAGTATTTTTGTCCTACCACTACTTGTACATTCACCTGTATGTAAAAACAGTCTAGCCATTGTCTGGCTGGTTGCCTATATCAGTGTGCAATAAGTGTTTTCTTTAGGTCTAATATAATGGTAATCAGTGGACTTGACAAATTTTAATTCACCAGTGACCTCAGAGTTAAGTTTAAGATGATCCAAGTTTGTATTGAATCCTGGATATAAATAGTTCATGAGTAGGGATAGCTTTATTATACAGAGAGGAAAGAAAACATGACCAAAACAAGCACTTTGCAGCAAATCACTGAAACTGGTAAGAACTTTGAAGATCTTTGGAACCCTTTTTCAAGATAGGTGACACAAACAAGTAACAATTCTAAAAACAAAAACATAAACAACAGAACCAATTAACAATTACAAACACTAAAATATAAACAAAATATTTTGTGTCATCTGCCTTGAAAATAATCTATAAAACTTGAAAGCACGTAGTCAAGTTCTGTCTTACAGCATCTTGCTTTGCCATGTTTGATATGATACAGTTAGAAAGAATATATATCTCATTAACTGTTACAGTGTGTACCATGCTATAGCGAAAACCTCCTCATTTTGAATTATATCACAAGAAAGGAGCTGTAATAATAATTATTGTTTTTATTCTAACCAAATTATGATATATTTTATGCAAAAGTCATATTAACATCAGTTATAATATGCCAAAAATATTTTTAAATCAAAGAAGGAAAGTGGCAATTTTAAAGATAAAATTCATGAAGTATAATGATAACCATGACTATATCTGCATAATATCTTTGACCATGTTATACTAAGGTAGCAGATTGAGGGACAATGGTATCATGAAATCCATGACAATACCTGTATAATATGGACCATTTTATACAGAAGTACCTTATGTTAAGGGACCACTGTATAATGGGATTCTTGATGATATGTGTAATATCATGGACCCTGTTTTACTGTGGTGCCCTATATTGAAGTACCACTGTGTAATGGAATTCATGACTGTCTCTTGTGTGACATCATTGAATACATTTCACTGTGGTGCCTTATATTGAGTGACAACTGTATAATGGAATCTATGCCCGTACCTGTGTAATATTGTTGACTCTGTTTTACAGAGATGCCTTATATTGAGTGACAAATGTATAATGGAATCCATGAATGTACCTGTGCATAGTATCATGGAATCTATGACCATAGCTATGTAATATCATGGACCATGTTTTGCTGAAGTGCATTATATTGAGGGAACATTGTATAACAGGATCCATGAACATACTGGTGTATTATCATCGAATGTGCTACACTGAGGTATCTTATAATGAGAGATCATTGTATAAAAGTATCAATAACCATACATGTGTAGTATCTTGGATTTTGTTTTACTGAGATACCTTATATTAAGGGAGAAGTGTATAATGGGATGTATGACCAAACCTGTGTATTGTCAGGGACCCTGTTATACTGAGTTACCTTGTATTGAGGGGCCACTGTAATATTCACATTATTTGTAATACTTAGGGAAAGTATGTTTTTCTTTTAAATAAATGTAGCCATGTGACTCCTGACACCCATGTCTAGGACTGAAAATAAAAAAAATAGCATACAAGTTAATACTCCTCACCTTGTCATTGAATTCTTTCCATTTGCATCCAACAGGGTTGTTCAAGTTTTTGTTGCTTTATGTTTTACCTTATCAATGAATCTTACATTATATAGTATTGTTCAGGAAAGATAACTTGTTAAGACTGACAATCCTTAAGGACATCATTACAAATTAGTGTTGGGGTTTTGTATTTCTAACTGTAAAGTCATGTGTCCACCCTAAATTATGATGTAATTGCATGTTTATTTTTGCCCTTATTATTTGTATATCATGTAGTGATTATTGTTTTCTACTTAAGTTTTTTATTTGTATTGTACATTCTTTAATTACTGCTTTTTTTGTTATGTGGTAATGATTATCATTGATTTTGTTATAACACAATAATAATTGTGATTTGAAAAAGACAACATGGCAGCTAGTTGTCAACTTGTTTTCTGTATGAGCTAATTGCCATCAATCACTTTCATGTCACTGGCAAATCACTTGCTCTAATATTTATTTGAGATCCATTCCTTTTGTTTTTGAGGTCAAGTTTTTTTTGTGTCACCTGTGGATAGCAAGCTGTAGGTTGGGTAGTGACAGCATCATTATCAACAATATTATGATGTATTTAACAGTCAGATACTTTTATGTCAGTGGCTGTATTCAATTGAAACTTCTGAAATATTTACATTATGTCAAAACTTTGTATGCAGATATGCTATGATACTGAAGCAGAATGCTAGTTTATAATGATGTTCATAGGGAAGATACTGTGTTCTGAAGAAAACTTGTATTACTTTTAACAGATACTGGTACATGTAATTGTACTAAAATCAGAGAATTTTTATTTGGGACTTGAAGATAATGTTATTTTAATGAGGTTTTAGTTTTAACTGCTGGTTCCACTGTTGTACATTGCAATTTACTGATGTTTCAGTCATGACAGGTGTCACTGCTCTACCTTGTGTTTTACTGATGTTTCAGTCATGACAGGTGTCACTGCTCTACCTTGTGTTTTACTGATGTTTCAGTCATGACAGAAGTCACTGCTCTACCTTGTGTTTTACTGATGTTTCAGTCATGATAGGTTTCACTGCTCTACCTTGTGTTTTACTGATGTTTTAGTCATGACAGGTGTCACTGCTCTACCTTGTGTTTTACTGATGTTTCAGTCATGACAGGTGTCACTGCTCTACCTTGTGTTTTACTGATGTTTCAGTCATGACAGAAGTCACTGCTCTACCTTGTGTTTTACTGATGTTTCAGTCATGACAGGTGTCACTGCTCTACCTTGTGTTTTACTGATGTTTCA